GCTGGTTGTACGAACATATATCGAGAATTTTTATATTGTTAGTGGATATGGCACGTTTAATGTGAATTTTTTTGTGTGTGTGTGTTTAGTGGGGCGACGTTATGGAGCTTGTGTGGCTCGCAATTGGATTTGGGTGTTAAGTCGCGCACTAAAAATTGTTGCCAATTGGAAAAAGTGATGTGAGAGGGTGTTGTTTATTTTGTTGAGAGCGATTTGTCGATATTTAAATATGCATGTAAAAGGAAGGAGTGTAGTTATGTGGGAATTTAACGATTGGAATAGTTTTGGAAGGCTGTGACTTAAGTTACTTCTGTCCAAAGATATGAAAGAAAAGGACATAGGGGCGTTGAAAATGGGATTAGGAACATTACAATAAGACCAAATAAGAGCGTTGGAGTTCACTACGTGTGAGCAACCCGTTCCAGGAGGGGAAAATTTAGTCAATGGGACAGTTGTATTAACCTGTCCATGGGACACTTGTTGCTTGCACGAGGTGAATTTGTATAAGGTAGTAGGTAGAGGTACATTATCTTGATACAGGAGTAGCTGAGGACAGTTTATAATTAGTAGAAATATTTTTATGGATTTAAGGAATAAAATGCCAAAAGGCAAAGGTGTATCGATGATATGGAATTTTAGATTCCGCGTTATGTTACTTATTTTTAAGATCAAAAAGATATAATCTATGGTGAAAATATTGTTAGCTATGGCATTAATAGTTAAGTTAAATGGATGGACAGGTATTTTTCTTTTACAAACTGATTTCTATTATTTTAAAAGTATTCTGCCTAATTATAGCGATAGATGCTCCTGTATCAAGTAGTAGAGGTAGGTTTACATTATTGGACAGTTCAGCTCGAATTGTTCAACAATAATTATGTATGGAGGAACCTACTGTTGTGCTGACTTGTATGTCGGGACAGTCCTGGTTTGGTGCCATAGTTGGAGGATCTTTGGGACAGTCAGAGTTCACTGCTTGCGCTGGGCTCGTGGTTTAGAGATGGTCGGGGGAGCAGGTAACATACGCTTCGTGTTGGTAACTCGGAGGGGTGCTTGCAGGAGGTTTGCTGGCTTTCTCAGTCTTGTAGAGTATTGTAGTTGGGCCCGATCTGCTTGGGCGTCGTCGCGAGAGTCCGGCCACGGCAGAAAGCTGATGTAGCGTCCTGGTCAAACTCCCCAGGACATCTGATACCGGCGGCGGGGGCGTGGCGTCCTGCTGGCTGGGGGCGATTTCCTGCGTCCTACCGAGGGTGGTTTCTTTCTTTGGAAAAGTGGTGTTTTCGCCACTTTCGTAGTCGGTATCGGTCTTCATGGGCTCCTTTGAATCCTCCTCGCTTCCCTGTTCCATCTTTCTGTACAGACAGTGGTCTACTTGCTTACTTGTACCTTGGCGTTCACAATCCTGTCGGCTCTTCGGACGGGGGAGTCTGTGATATCTTGGGACCTCTGGGACCAGTGTTACCTGATGCTAGACGAACCTCGATGTCAACTCTACCGTGCAGTCGTGGTGGAAGGCGACACAGCTGGGCCAAAGGTGAAATAAACAAACAGAGATTCCACTAAGAAGCGTCTGACGTCAAGAAGGAATGGGACGAGGAGAATTCTGGCAGGAAAGGATTTACCTTTATCGGAGCGTCCGGTGCACTGGGACTGGAACGACGACTAACTAAGGACTGGCTAACTGAGGATCGGGACCTCCTTTTTATAGCAGAGCGGGTCCGAACAGGTCGCTGCCCTTTTCTGACGTAAACAGGGGGGAAAGTTTTATTATCCAGGAGGGCCACGACCTCGTAAAAGTTAGACTGGGTTTTGCTAGGCCTTCTTCTATTCTCACCTAAGCCTGATTAGTTTTAACCTTAATTTTCTCCTGTTAGTCTCCATTCCTTCTATCTGTACAGTTGCTATACTTTATTAGATTCTTATGCGGTACAGATTGATGTTAGTTGAGGCTTTCTATTTGCAGTAAATAAGAAGTTATATACAGTCACGTGGTGGAACATGTGGTAGTAGATATCTAGACTATTTACAACAATTCCATGGTCTTAAATCATCACATATATATACACACAATAGTGCATCGTAATATATATGTATATTATTTGTTTTGAAAATAGAGCAATCCATACTTAAATCATTAGATAATTAAAAAATGCATATATTAGATTGAATAAAAGATTTATTTGCCAATATTTCGGTTGACTGAACGCCAAACCTTTATCAAGGCATTATATGTTATGATAAATTTTGTCGGCTTATTGTTATATTAAATTTCTTTTTAATTAAGATTAGCGTGTTATTTTTGGATACATGAGTCTTTTTATGTTATTGTTATGTTGTCATGTCATCTCGAAAATAAAAACATTTTATATCAATATTGCTTTAATTGAGCAAGCTTATGAAATATTAAAAACATAATTTGAGAAAGTATATTACCTGAATTAAGGCGTATAATATATACAACAAAATATTACATATTTACATATCTACAAAAAGATTTGAGCCGGCCAACAGGAAAAGAGAGAGAGAGAAAATATGGTTTAACGGGTTACTAACCAAAGTGTATCAGTTTTCAGCCTAAGGTCAAAGGAAAACAACAACAATAGGTTTATATAGTCCTGAAGCCGCGACATCTGGCGGTCGATTTTACAGAGTAGTGTTTATTATAGAAAATATATTAAAACAAGAACATTAAGCATCCAGGGAAAGTTTATTTTTAAAATATTTATTATTTAAAAATCTCTAAAGCTTTCGGATAAGAAAGCCCTTCTACGGGAGAAAATATCTTGAGAGATTTTTAAATAAAAAATATTTTAAAAAGAAACTTTTCCCTGAATATGTGCTTAATGTTCTTAATTTAATATAGATTCAAGTAATTATTTTATCGAAATAGAAAATATAATTCAAACTGTAATAAAATTTTTATAGTGTTAGCTAGTCAAATTTTAAAATAATATTGAAACTGGATGTTGAGTGTAGGACATTCTTCACCCTGGCCAAATCCTCCCGACTTATAGTATCCACCACTACACCTGGATAAATGATATCATAAAAGACTTAAAACATCTCTTAACTGTCGCCTCCTATTCATTTTAGTTTCTCAACAACAACAAAAATGTTTATTTAGATCTTTTGGTCTTATACAGACTCACCGAGTATAAGAGGATATCATAGAGAAATAACAGTAATAGTAACTCCGCCTTTGCTGGTCCTAAGCCCGGATGAAAAAGGAGGAGGGGAAACAGTAACAAGCTCGCTAAAAAACCTGGGTTCAGATGGCCTGGCTGATAGTACCCTGTAAGGGCTCCTAATCCAGGGATACAGGATGAGTAGTGTTTGTACTCCATGTTAGGCGCAGCTGCACATGGCGTCTGTTCCTCATGTCAGAGGCGGCCATTTATTTTGGAGCTAAGTCGGCCTGCCACTGAGTAGTGCTCCCAGTCTTAATGACAAAGGCAGACGCATTCTACTTCACCCAGACCCTAATATGATTGAGTGGAGATAAGGAAGAAGAAGAAGACAGTAATAGTGACAATAATCAACATTGTGTCGCGGTCTCACACAATTCTGGCCTTAACGTTTCATGATTTTTCAGGATGCCTGGATGACCAGTTTTTTGGTCGTTGAGGTACAGCTTGCACCACGCTGATGAGGGCCAACAGCCCGAAACGCGTCCGTGGTTATCTTTTCTTGATTAATCAAGAATGGGTATTTGGCCAATTCTGGAATAATTAAAAATCAACGAGAATAGTTGATATTTATTCCTATAGATAGCGCAAGCCATCAGCAACTTTCAGTTGCACGATAAGGAGATGTATTTTTCTTAATAATCAGCGTTGTTATTTACAATGTATTAAATAAGGGGAAAGAAGAAAAAAAGGCTTGGTATAAACTTATATACAAGCAAACGAGAACAAGCAGTTTCTTGTCTTAAATAACAATAATTAGTAGTACAAGTTTAGTACAAGTGAAAAAGGAATATACAACAATATGTAACAATGATTCGCTTCTTCCACGGAAGATGGCGCCAGCTTTAAGAGAACAGCGAATCGTGCCTTCCCGTCACGTGAGAGCTGAGCCTATATAAGTTTTTCTTTTCGCCTTTCTACGGCAAGGATAAAAGCCAGACGATAAAAGCCAGACCTCTTGAGCTCTGGGTCTTGATCGCCTGATCTCGATCCCTGAAATGATCTCTTAACTATTTTTGAAGCCTGCGGCGCCTTAGTTGTGCTTGGTGCTGCCTTGGTTCCCTCAAAACGGCGCGCACTAGCCCTCCACTCCCCCGGGGTGCCCACGGCCTCGCCGTCGCCTCTCCAGCTATCTCCTTGGCCCTCCATTGCGGCGGGCGCTTTGGAGACTCCTAACTATGAGTTATGCCTTAAAATGCTTTTCCTAAAGCATGTAGAAGGCACAATAATAGTATATATTTTCGCCTTTCTACAAAAGGATAAAAGTCAGAGGATAAAAGCCAGACCTTTTGATCTCTGTATCTTGATCGCTTGATCTTGATCACTGAAATGATCCCTTAAATATTTTTGAAGCCTGCGGCGCTTTAGTTGTGCTTGGTGCTGCCTTGGTTTCCTCATAATCGGCGCGCACTCGCCCTCTTCTCCCCCGGGGTGCCCACGGCTCTGCCGGCGCCTCTCCAGCCCTCTCCTTGGCCCTCCATTGCGGCGGGCGCTTGGTGTCCCAAACATGAGTCATGCCTTAAAATGCTTGTCCGAAGCATGCAGAAGGCACAATAATAGTATATTCGCCTTTCTACAGCCAGCTAGCTGGATTATTTAAAATATGTTAATTTTGTTACTTTAATATTTTTTTTTTGTATTCCAATAAGGAAAGAAATAAAATTGTATACAAATGTATTATATATAGATTATCAGACATCTATACAGCAGTTTTATACATGGATGGATCAAGGGTATAGGATTATCTATAGTGGGGATATAGAATCTTAAGGGTAGAGCTTTATTAGTTCATTCACCTAGTTGTTCAATAGTCCAGGGTAGTCTAGTGGACATGGCATCTGCCCGGTAAGCGGAACACTGTGGGTTCGATTCCCAGTTGTTCAATTACCTTAACCGTATATGTGTTGGGTCCAAAGACCATTCCATCCTTGTCAAGTGGAGTGCTAACTGTATATGTGTTGGGTCCGAAGACCATTCCATCCTTGTCAAGGGGAGTGCTAACTGTATATGTGTTGGGTCCGAAGACCATTCCATCCTTGTCAAGGGGAGTGCTAACTGTATATGTGTTGGGTCCGAAGACCATTCCATCCTTGTCAAGGGAAGTGCTAACTGTATATGTGTTGGGTCCGAAGACCATTCCATCTTTGTCAAGGGGAGTGCTAACTGTATATGTGTTGGGTCCGAAGACCATTCCATCCTTGTCAAGGGAAGTGCTAACTGTATATGTGTTGGGTCCGAAGACCATTCCATCCTTGTCAAGGGGAGTGCTAACTGTATATGTGTTGGGTCCGAAGACCATTCCATCCTTGTCAAGGGAAGTGCTAACTGTATATGTGTTGGGTCCGAAGACCATTCCATCCTTGTCAAGGGGAGTGCTAACTGTATATGTGTTGGGTCCGAAGACCATTCCATCCTTGTCAAAGTCCTTTCAACACAATTGTTCAGTTGTTCAATAGATGTTACCGATATTTTAGCTTCTCTCACTGGTGAAGATAATTTTGTGTGTGTGAATTCCACTCAAACATCTATGGAAATATTAGAATGTCTTCTTGTATGATTTTACTACTGAATTCAAAATAAAAGCTAAACTCTTTATCCATCTTCCTCAGAAAAAGTCTGTCTGAAAAAAAAAAAAAAACACTAAGGAATAATAAAATATATTTTTATATGGAAAACACATAATTTCAAATTTATACACTTTATATGATATAGTCATACAAAAAAAGAAATCTCAAACTCTCAAACTATGTAATTGTATTTAAATAGAAAATTGAGTTTTTGAAGTTTTCCTTTCCATCGTCAAAAATTCATTCATTGGTTAGTTAAATAAATCCAAACAATAGAAAAAATAACGAATACAAATTATGTAATAATTATATTTACATATAAGATTAATTTTTCCCCCCACGGGAATTAAGCTTGAGATATCAAACGATAAGGAAGAAAAAAAATATTTCAAACTAAATAATTATATTTACATATAAGATTAAGTAGAAAGTCTTGCTTTCTTCGTCGGATAATCAGCCATTGGTTAGTTAAATAAAGCCAAACGATAGAGAAGCGAGCGACCAATCAAATTGAAGGCGTCTGCCCTCCCAGGGAATTAGATTAGGAGACGAGTAACAAATGTTGATTATTCCGAGTGATCCATGAGAAATGACCCGAATTAAACGTAGCCGAGTACCCAAAAACAATTAGGAAGCAATCCATTTTCATTGCAGAAGACCTGTAGAAATAAAAGTAAACAACAACAACAACAAGACGAGGAAAAGTTGAGAAGACTCAAGCCTAACCTTTAATTGCAACAAAATCTAATTTCACAGAGGGGTAATTAAATTTGATTTGTTCCGTTGGATCAGGGCAATCAGGGGAAATTGGAATTTCTATCTATCCACTTGTAATGTATTTTTGAGAAGGTAAAGTTGTTTAAAGAATTCACTAAATTACTAAATGCCTACCACCGTGTTTTATCCGATATTTGTTCGAAAAAGAATTTACGTTGATAAATAGCCGAATGATACCAATTAAATGCCTTATATTTTCTTTTTCTTTCAAAAACGTAGAGAAATTTTCAATTTGGAAAAGTGAGAAAAATTCTTGTCATAACATCATTTTTTACATATTTACAATATACACGGTAGAATTAAAAAAGTTCCCGAACTTTAAAAAAATTAAATATAAAATAACTTTTGAAAAATGTAAAATCAATTTTATTGTAAAGAACAAAGCTTAAACTATAATTTAATTTAGAAACGCCAGTAAGTGCGCATGCGTAGTTTTTATTTTAGGCATATTTTTGTTGCAAGTTTTTAGCTCGCGTCGGTTTCTGCAATATCATAATATGAGCAAAGGGCAAATATTAAATTTTGTGTAAAATTAAAAAAGGTCTTTCACAGAGACATTAGCATTAATGAATGAAGCTTATGAAGACGAAAAATTGTCACGAACGCAAGTTTATTTCTGGTATAAACCTTTTAAAGATGGCCGTAAGAGCATCGCAGATGATTCAAGGTCAGGTCGACCATTGACGTCAACAACGGATCGCAATATTGGACAGGTACATGATTTAATTGTTGCTGATAGAAAAATTACTATTGTTAATATATCAGAAATACTTGGAATTTCGTATGGTAGTTGCCAAAAAATTATTGGTGAACATTTAACATGAAAAAACTTTGTGGTTATTTTGTCCCACGAAATTTAGCAGATCAACAAAGAGAAACAAGATTATCAATTTGCAAAGATTTAATTGAAACTGCAAATAATGTCTCTGATTTCTTTCAAAACAATAATAACTGGGGTTGAAACATGGTGCTTTCTTTTGATCCACAAATCAAAAAACAATCACTCGAATGGCACACACCAAGTTCTCCTAGGAAGAAGAAAGTTCGTCTTGACAAGTCCAAAGGAAAAGTAATGCTTGTAGTGTTTTCCGATTATCAAGGACTTGTCTATTATGAATTTATTAAAGAGGGGGTTATTATTAATAAACAGGCATACAAAGAAATACTTGTGCGCCTTCGTGATGCGATAATAAGAAAAAAAAGTAACCAACTCTTTAAATCAAAACAGTGGAAATTGCTACATGATAATGCCCCTGCTCATAGAGCTATTATTGTTCAAGACTATTTAGCCAAACACTCTGTATCTGTCTTGCCACATCTTCCTTACTCTCCTGATATCGCCCCATGTGATTTCTTCTTCTTTCCAAAACTTAAAATGACGTTAAAAGGGAGGCGCTTTTCATCGTCATCAGAAGTAATTGAAAATGCGACGGTGGAGCTAAACAAGCTTAGAAAAAATGACTTTGAACTAGCATTTCAACAGCTTTTTTCACGCTTGAAAAAATGTGTAGATAACCAAGGCTCCTATTTTGAAAAATATCATGTTTAAATTATACTATACTATGAATAAATAATTAATAAAAAAAGTTCGGGAACTTTTTGACCCTACCTTGTATAATAAATAAATCATATTAGAAGCCGTTTTGTTTGTTAGTTTATATACTTTTGTATTTTATTAAGTATACATATATATATTTTCTAAAATTAATAATTATAAATTGTGACATTATGATATACTCTTTATATCCTATTATTACTATTACATTATACACACCTATATACTAAACATACTTAAAAGTAAAAGTGGATCATGGTGTTAAGATAGTGAAATGAGAACTTAACTGATCATACAGCTGAAGGTTAATAATGACTGTTGGATCGTATTTGAAGACCACTCTCAGATTTATAAAATTAATTTATTACTATTATATTTGTTAAATTAAAACTTTATAAAATTAAATATGCAAACAATTATTTTGTATAAAAATAGTATATATACCATCAATTTGGTATCGTGATACTCCTGTGGAAGGACTGACAGGTCCGGAAGCTAGATAATAAAATTTGAACAAGAAACTTAACCCTGGAAGCTTTATTTACTTTATAATTTTTATATATATAGAGAGAAACGAGTTAATTACCTCGTATTTAAGGCAAGAAAAGAATCATCTAATTTACATACGTCGTTCTAACCAGATTCAACAAATAAACAAATTAATAATAGAGGGTAAGTTCCTATTTTTAGAAGTTTTCACACTCAAAGAATAATCATTTTCTTGCTTCAATGACCCATTGCCATCTATCGGAATATACTCTATGTGTGTGGACGTTGAAATTTTAATTTCCACAAAATTGGCTATTGTTCTCTTTCCCAACTTAGTATAGTTCTGAAAGAGTGAAAAATAAAGAAGATGGTGTTTCTACCAATGTTATCATCCATATTTATTAGAAATTTATAAAAATTATTAAAAAATGGGT